ACTTTGATTAACTTGGCTTGCAATATCACATGAAACAACTTATGCATATTTACTAATTCTTGAAAATTCAACCATAAAACCAGAAATCCGGAAATTCAACCCATCAAACGGTTCGGACGATCTTAAACATAAAAGCAAACAGCAAAAGGACCCCATGCCTGGTACAAGCGCGCACATAAAAGCCAACAGCATACAAGCAAAGCGAAAACGAATTAAGAGCTGACAGCTGTTAATGTAAAACGCAGCAAAATCAAATTATCCGGGATAAATTTAATCAGCGAGCAATAACAAGAAGTTTGACTAACGCTTTCGGATCGAGAGACATCATTATTTTCATGATTCACATGATTTTCATGATGAAAATTATGGCAAGGTCACCAAACGTTATTGAGTGATCATTGTGTTATCTATTATTCACCATGCCATCTACTTCGTCCCCATCATGGTAATTTGACGGGCGAATGTGAACGATTAAAGCATTCGCGCGCCCATTCACGGTGAGCAATGTTTCAAGAATACCTACGGGTATATTTACTCCGGTCGGCAAACTTTATTCCACGAAACCGATACATTTGGGATGATTTAGATTTGATAATTGTGACCAAAGCATTTTAGAAATGCAAATATTTGGGAAAGATATTGGTCAAAAAGTACGAGCTTAAGCTTACACCACGGCCTCTAGTACTCGAGATCGGTTTCAGAAAGGGTAGCATTTGCTGCCGATTCCCGGCACACAGCTATGGATCGGATAGAACCCCGCTAATGTGCTGCGGCCGCTACATTCGCCAGCACCATGCAGTTGGCTTCATGTCATCATCTGTTCTGGCTGCTAAGATCTGATATTAATCGAAATACGTTACAAAATGACCCGATTCATGGTTTGGGCAGGAAAGGCCACGACCGCCTGCACGCAACGGCCTGCAGCTTTGCCATTAACGCTGCTCACTCCTCCGTCGGGATATTTCAGTCTCGTGTCGCTGCGATGCTGCGATGCTGGATCGTCTCAATCTGGAACCGTATTCAGTCCGGACTTAAACAGTTTTTTCGCAAATTTATATTTCATTTCTACGTATGAATCGAACGGAGGTAGATTTGTGATGCATTGCAATGTTGCAGGAAAAAAACAGCGTAACCAAACAGTTTGTACGTAAATGCCCAGCAATTTACGCGATACAGTTAATAAGAGTATTATATCTGCAAGTCATCAGCAGATAGTATCAACTTTTGAACAGTACGTCTTCGTTTTTCGTAAATGAATTCTGAATGAAACCCTTTCAAATTAGACAAGCTGCCCCACCCCGAGGTAACTGTATCACATGGTAGGCAAAGTTACGCTGTACACCTTTTTGCGTAGAGCAGGTTGCATCACAAGCAAACTGAATGCGTTGCAACATGCAGACCAATCGTCGTGGTTGCCATAGTACAAATGTGTTTGTCTTCTTAATCATGCAGCGTTTATTTTACCACAACTGGCGCATCGGTCTTGGTTACTCGGGTACGAATTATGGATCTACATAGGTAACGTAAACGTCGAATTGCTGTCTGGATGACGTAAATTATGATAATCATGTCAGTCAATCATTGGCAGTAAGCCAGCCAACAGAATATTGTCGGTACCTTGCATAAATAGTACAACACGCCCCATGCACAGCTGATGCACGTATCATCCGACGTCTTGCAAGCGAGTACGAACGAACCCGATGTCCTTAGCTATCAGTTGCCAAACGCTTTGCGTTATATACGACACATGTACTTGCCTGCCACTGAGTATAAAATTCAAATTAGTTTAGTTATGCCGTAAGCTCTTAAACACACATTTGTGCCGATCGCTGCAGTTTTCAGTATGCAAAAGAAAACAGACCCCTTCCCGCTTGCCCCGAGACGCATATTAGTATGAAGCTGGAAGTGTGCTGTAAGTTAGAGGAAGGTTTTTAATGAAGAAGAGGAGGTCGACGAAAGAGGTTTCCACTGGCTGTGCGACAGCTGAGGGACTCAAGGCTGCCATCCATCGAATACATTTCAAGCAAATCATCGCGATACTATTTGGACATGCCACGACCCCGCTCATTCTCCCTTAACGTTCGAAATCAGAACTGTCGAAGCGATAAGAAATAAACTTTTTAAACAAGACCAATTCTGTCACAGGTTTATTGCACCGGAGACCAGACCACCGCAAACGGCCGTGGCAAATTCGCTATCTCCGAAACATAATGCAGTATCCCTGACCAGGGGCATCGCAGGGAGTGAACTCCGCTGGTTTCCCATTGGGTCGGAACATTTTGACTGTGACTCCTGTAAATGGTCATCTGTATCATAAATTGCCTGCTTCCAGCCCGATAGATCAAAACCTGGCCACCTCGCTGTAATTTCGCTACTGGCCGCTGGACAAATACGGACCGCTCGCCCAGTTTTAAATTTAAAACGGAACACGTAGTAAAGGTTGTAATACTTAGGGCATATATAGGGCATGCGCGCGGATCCGACATGACACACTATTGCCTGCTCCTTCTCGTCACAAACGCAACTCCCTGACCTGGTTGCAAGTCTCAGGTTAGTAGCATTTGTCCCAGTGGATCATTCCGGCTCCATGTGAGCATCTTTGCAATTGTTTAGGTCCAGTGCGAGACCTTGATATCCCCTAAGTAAAGCGAATGCAATATTCATCATCATTGATTTCGGCCACGAAACTTCAAAAGAAAGCCCTACATTGAGTGTCTGACTTTAACGTGGTACCTAAAAGCATGCCTCCGTCAGCGTGTCAGTCACTGCAGTCCGCGGGGCCCGGAAGTACGGGAGGAAGCCATGAAACTCGCCCTCCGCCCCTCCAACATCCGACGAGTGAACCGTCTTAATGAGGTCACTGGCAAGGTCACTCAGTAGTGCCGATCCGCCGAGACAATGGCACCTGCTATCCCGGAAGCTAGCGTAAGTCCCGCTATGCCACGTGACTTGTTTCGGGCGCTTCTTTTGCAACCTTCCTCCAAGCACTGACCATAACAATGACGGGGGTTGGACAAGCCGTCTTCTAGCACCACTCTGTCAATAACAGGAGCTGAACAAGGCCATCTGTAAAGCCATTAGAAAGTGCGTTGCATGCTGGCTCTGAGGCTCAAACCAATTACGGCAGCAGTGTACAGTGCTGGCTCCAGGTGAGCTCTCGTCGGATGCAGAAGTTTTTCTGCGGCGTTCTCTTGCCTCCACCCGTCGACCTCAGCGGCGGCTGGCGACCGGCAGACGGTGGCCTTTGGCCAGCCCTCGTAAAACTCAATGGGATGGGTGTCATTAAATGCCAGTGTGGATAAACTTCTTTGGGTTAAGCCATGTCGTTGGCGTAGTGCGTATTTTCTACACCAGCCACACATACAGACCTCTGGGTGCGTTTGAGACGGAGATAATGCGCCCCTGTGTGTTTGTCCTGTTCGGCTCATTGCATCACACGCCGGGAATTACTCACCCGTGGCTGTGCGCTGTGACGAGTCAAAGCACGGCATCCTTCCGTCTCACGACTTCAGTACGCGCGTTAAAACGGCCAGACGACGACGTTAGGCGGCTCGTATCAAACAACATAATAAGTTTCGGAAGGTGGCAAGCAGTGCGTGACATCTGGTAACAGGGATCAAATAATACCGCCACCGTCCATACTTTTCATTTGACATATTTCACGCAGCTCGACCGCCAGTGCCCTGACGTAACTTTGTGACACACAATCGCATTATCACGCACCATCACCAATCATCATCATGCTGACTGAGGTGCTGAACGCGGGATTGTGTTCAAAACAAACCTAACTTGCACGAACGTGAAAGGTTTTCAGGCACCTGAACGCGTGATCACCGGCACCGAACCGCCGGCCGGAGCGCCGCTACCAGCTCCACCCAGCAGACGGGGCGATCGGCTGCCGCCGCGGACGCTGGGCGCCTGCCGCGGGATGCTGCCCCGCACATGGTGGGCGCGGGTAGAGCGTTAGGCGGGACCCCCGCTCTACCCGGCTCGAAAAGGCTGGCGGCACGGCGTCCGACGGGCAGCGGTTTGATTATTCTGTGGTCGTAGGAGCACCGAGGTCGTCAATTCCACCACACATGGACGATGTGATCTCACAAGATTCAAACCAATCGCCATAGCTCGAGGTCACGATTTCCAGGCCCACGATATCTCGAGCATAATGGTATATCTGATGGCATGGCAGTGAACGCAGCCGAGGAAGGGGATGACTGACCCATTTCTTTAAAAACGCATATTTTCCTTTCACCCACAACTGACTTCCTGCTTTTAAATCGGTCCTGGATATCAGGCCTTGGCCACTCGGCATACCAAGGCAAGCTGTCTTGCCATTGTCAGCCTGGTACACACACGGTCTGCACTGCGACAGCATTGCGTACACAATGTTGCAGTCATGCCCTTGCGCATGTAAAAAGGCTCCCCAACGTTTCCATCTCCTCGCGTGGAACTCACAGCGTATCACCATGTACAAAGAATCCGACGGTTCTAGCGAACCCAACGTATTTTCATGCCGCACCATGCGGCGCGCCGGCCCCATAGTCCGCTTCTGCGGATATTTCGCTTCAGGCAGACGGAACAGCATAGACCAGCACAAACCCCAACTCCGCTCTGGTATCAGACGTGGCTCAGCCCCGGTCACGGGCACTACCGAGCGTTCTCCGCAGAGCAGAGCAGGTCACGCCCTCGCACGAACCCATCCCCTGCACCGACCTGCCGGTGGCCGGCTGGTCTGTCGCCTCGACACGGCCCTGCCTGCCGCGCGCGCCACGACCGGCCTCAGAACAGAGGGGATGGTTCCATAAGCCAACGACCACCGTCACGCATAGCTCTCGCAATACAGAGGCGATGCGTGCCAGCGGTGCGTCATAGCTGCACTTTAAAACCAATTACTTGACTAAGTTAGAGGTAGCACGATTGGTGGAACAAACGTCTCATGTGGTTCTGAGGCCCGTGACGAATAGCGTGGCCTTCTTAGTCAGCATGAGCTTAAGGCGCCGCCGAAACGATTCTCTGTTGTTTATTGGGGTTTTCGGGCGCGCCGACTGCAGAGACCATTTGCGCCGGGCCGCCGACCGAGCTCATGAATCGAACCAAGTGGCTGGACATGCGACATCAGTGCACTGCCTACGCTCCCGCAGCCGTGACGAATAATCACCCAACATCAAGGCAACTCCGGTGTGCATAACCCGGTTGAAGCTTCAAAGCGAATCCACGCACTATTCCACGACAATAAATATGCATATGGCGCGCAATGCCCCTGACACAACTAGCAGCCATTCCTCACATGGTACCCGGGTCATCGGTGCTGTTTCAGACCACGGCTCACACAAGTACCGTGCGCATGCAGCTTGCATTCGGCACAAGCACCGCAGACCACTACGGCTGACGCCATACGGCATCGGCTGTGTGGTCCCCGTGCTCCTGCCGTCCTGGATCCAGGTCTGACACCTTTCCGCGCCAGGGACGAAGACGTCATTGTACAGTGCACTTTTCTGTAACAGCGAGTCAGACACAACGGGCGTCACTACAGAGCGGCGGTCAAATCAGACACAGCCGGCGTCACCGCAGAACGGCGGCCAAGTCAGACACAGCCGGCGTCACTGCAGAACGGCGGCCAAGTTAGACACAGCCGGCGTCACCGCAGAACGGCGGCCAAGTCAGACACAGCCGGCGTCACCGCAGAACGGCGGCCAAGTCAGACACAGCCGGCGTCACCGCAGAACGGCGGCCAAGTCAGACACAGCCCCGGCAACGGCGGCGGCCAAGGAGACCAGCCGGCGTCACACCGCAGAACGGCGGCCAAGTCAGACACAGCCGGCGTCGCAATTCAACAGCTCAAGAACGGCGGCCCAGCCGACACGGGGGCCGCGGGTCACTGCAGAGCGCCAAGAACTGCCGCAAGTCAGACACAGCTGGCGTCACTACAGGGCGGCGGTCGAGTCGGACACGGCCGACGTCACTGCAGAACGGCGGCCAAGTCGGACACAGCCGGCGTCACTACAGAACGGCGGCCAAGTCAGACACGGCCGGCGTCACTGCAGAACGGCGGCCAAGTCAGAGAAAGAGCCGACGTCAGTGCAGAGCGGCGACCAAGCTCGCGCCGACCTAAAATACTACGAGCTGGGGAGATCCTAGTACGCCAAGTTATATCCTGCGCACGCGCACCCCCCGACCCCCCCCACACCCACGCCCACACCCACACGTCCGAACAAACGCGAGACATCCGCACCACAGCTAACGCTGAAACTTTCGCAAAGCACGACCCTCGTGCATTCGGCCCCTGCGAAGCTGCCCCCCCCCCCCCCCCCTCCCCCAGCCTACACGGAGGGCGGCGCGCCGGCACGTGCCGATCATTCAAGGTCGACGTTGGAGTTAGAAACATTTCTAGCTAGTTCCAGAAGCTGGAATGGAATGGCACATCTCCAGCAACAACGAATTCTCCGTATTTACAGGATATTTCAGCAAATTTTCAAAACTCGTCAGTTTTTATATGGGTCAAGGCGAACGGTCGTCGTTTTGACTCTTGTTTGGCGCAATAGCGAGACGGTAACACGCACGCACGCACGCACGCACAACCCTTCGCCAATAACCTACCAATGGCAAAATTCATCCAGACCATAATACGGCCAACTGACAAATATGACGCAACGAGTGAAACCAGTGCGATGCACAGTAATCAATAAAGAATACTCACTGGCGGCAGTGTGAAGCATGGAACCTTGGAAGATCGGAAACATGGACGCGCAAACGAGACTTGATTCACAACACGCCCCCTATAACTGGAAAGTTAAACTTAGTAAATGTCACAATGGAAACAGTTCGGGTACCAAAAAGACTACCGATCGACACGGCATTTCTCTACCCTGGCTCCGCAGCCATTTATCACAACCTACTCCTTCCTGAACACGACCATTCACCCCGGTGCGCCCGTCAGCTGCCTTTGACCGCTAACGACACCGGTACAACGCCGGCGCGTTAGCGGGCCGACAGCCGTTTACACGGCGCTTTACGACGTCGCCCACGGCCGCGACGTCACAGCGACAATGGTCCGGGCGGTGTCGGGTGGGAGTGCAGCCAGCTGACGATGCGACGCCGGTGGCGCCACGCGGCGGCTGAGCGGCGAAACACCTGGACCGGCCCAGCAGCGCCCCGGCGCACACTCCGGCTTCCTCGCGCGGCCGTGACCCGGTCGCTGGCACCGACGGGCCGCTACACCCCGACCAATGCGCGTGGCCGAGTCAGCGACGCCGGGATGGAGTGCAATTACGGCAGACGGAGCGCGGGGTGGCGACTTCAGCCAGCTGGAACTAGTTTCGGCTACAATCTCCTTTGCGCCACTTGAAACCCAGCACAAACTGGCAGCAACTCTGGCGGCCATAGTACTCCTCTTTCCATCCTATTACCATATTGCTGTCCGATGGCTCATATTCAGCCCAAATACCAAGAACATCACAATGGTGTAAGGGCGAGGCCAAAATATGTGGCGTGTGTGCTACACATTGTGCACCAATCAGCACCGCAACTTGTGCCCCAGGACCCCCGACCGCGGCTTCTGTTACGCACGGTTGGTCCTTTGATAAACGGACGCGACATGTTGTTATTGTAATACCTGGATGCGATATCGGCACTGCAAATAAGCTTGACAGAACACAAAGAAAAAGAACAAACACAAAACACGTTTTTGCAGGTTCTGCTAGTAGCTTCTTCCAGAACTGTCTGACGGCTTGTTTTAACTAGTTTGGGTTAAGCCTAGCAAGTAGAAAATTTCCCAGCTGGTTGCTACCAAGCACCCAGGGTTGGCACGCGTAGCCAAGATTTCGTCCAGGAGGGGATCGAATCCGTTCAAAGGGGTCTTTTCAGCCACGTGGCCCCTTTTCGTCGCTGTAGAGACCCCCTGTTTGATCCCCAGGAACCTTTGGCTTGCGATCCCACTTTGTCTCGGGAATCAGTGTCGTGATGTTCTAAAAACCCTCCAAGTATCAAAAGCCGCCAAAAAGTACTGGGTCTCCGGTCACGGGAGGCCCTTGCCACCTCCAAGAGGGAGGGGGGGGGGGGGGGCATGGCCCAAACAGCTATTTACCACCACCCCCTCCCCTGGCTCCGCCAGTGACTTGATTTTCTTAATGCCCAATGCACCATGCTAACACAAATAACGTCACCATGTAATTTGTCATGCTACCTTACTGTTCTGGTTTGCCTCCATGGCGTATGTGTTCTAAAACATGTAAGTTTCAGGCAGCTTCTGTCAGTTTTTGCCACTAGTGGTCTATGCCAGCCGCTTAAAACCGCTGAAATCTGACTGGCGGAAACTGTTTAGCACATTGCTACCAGCCCTGGTCGCGCAAAACATGGTAAGCCGGTGTGGACACAGCGAGAGGACGTGACAGCTGCAGTCGGCCAGGGGTACCGATGTCCCGTCTGTGCTCCACCGCACCACGCCCCGAACGGCGTGGACACAGCGAGAGGTCGTGACAGCTGCAGTCGGCCAGGGGTACCGATGTCCCGTCTGTGCTCCGCCGCACCACGCTCCGAACGGCGTGGACACAGCGAGAGGACGTGACAGCTGCAGTCGGCCAGGGGCGCCGATGTCCCGTCTGTGCTCCAGCGCACCACGCTCCGAACGGCGTGGACACAGCGAGAGGACGTGACAGCTGCAGTCGGCCAGGGGCGCCGATGTCCCGTCTGTGCTTCACCGCACCACGCTCCGAACGGCGTGGACACAGCGAGAGGACGTGACAGCTGCAGTCGGCCAGGGGCGCCGATGTCCCGTCTGTGCTTCACCGCACCACGCTCCGAACGGCGTGGACACAGCGAGAGGACGTGACAGCTGCAGTCGGCCAGGGGTGCCGATGTCCCGTCTGTGCTCCACCGCACCACGCATCGAACGGCGCCGTTCGGCGACATACCCTGGTTCGACCACAGCCGCAGTGAGCAGCCGCAACGCAGCGTCTCTCTTCCGAGCACGCCGACCACACAGAGCAGAGCAGCCACCAGCAGCTCTGTATTGACAACAGTCAGCCAGTGCCGGGCCGAGAACGCGCCCGACAACACTGAGAAACGACACTTTAAGCAGAGCGCGCATTGGAAGCAAAAACACCATCAGATCATACGTCTCCTGAGACCCGAGCATGAAGCGCACTCGTAGGCGGCGACTAACGCCATACAAGACTTTGACAGAGGCCGTGCCGAATGCGGTCCTGGCCACTGGAAATGAGCGCACCGCGAAGCTATACCAGAGAGGGCCGCCCGGCCGGGCTGCACGTACTGTGACTGCCGTCGTCGGCGCCGCCCGAGGAGGCCATCCCCTTCTGCAGGTCGCGCATAGACTGAATGGCCTCCGCTCTGCTGAGCCACCGCTCCACCTAGCCGAGATCATGCCATGAGCCGATTGCCAGACCACCAGCGACTGTTCAGAGAGCCGGCGACAAGGACATCGGGAGAAGCTCAGACACAACCCGAAAAACACATGTACGGTATAATATTCTTGCCTTCCAGTCATGCCCGCAAATAGTTAGCTTACATAAGGAACAATTAAGTGACTTAACATTACTGTAATGCAAAGTTAGATGATAATGCACTGCGGTATTACAACGCAGACTCACACCAAAACGACGGGGGGGGGGGGGAGGGGGCGGTTCGTACCACGGCCGTCAGCAGGCGGCGCTCCTCCGGCTCGGCTTGCCGGGCCCGCGTCATCAGCTGCTGAATGGCAAGCTGATATGTCTCCAGCGCCGTGTCCCAGCGCGTCTCGCGCTCGTACCAGACGGCGGAGCGCGCCATCTCCAGCGCCGAACGCACAGACTCCCGCTGCGGCGTCAGCGCCTCTGGCGGGCGAAACGGACAACTGTCATGACCGCCACGGGTACAACGGCACATGGGCGAGAAAAGACGCGGCGCTTCTGATGGACTCAAACGGTGACAACGGAAAAACGAGACTGGTGAACCCGGGAGACTTATGAATCTATGGGATAGTTCCGCATTACTGATACTTCACTTGGCGGTGCACTGCGCACTTACGCCGGCATTTTGAGCATGCACGCGGCTCCTCGGGCTCCGCGCCGTTTCTTGGACGCACCCAGCAGCAACTCGACCGGAAACAGATCAGCGAAAAGGCTCGGTACGGCGCCACCTGCCACGCCCGGCCGCCGTCCGACGCGCCTCCGCCGGCCGGCTGCCGCGGCGGCCCGGCCGCGTACCGAGGGCCGCTGTGTCCGGGTCGGCCGCCGCTCCGGGCATCGGACCCGACTGGGGGCTCGCCGGCGGGTGGAGCCGGCCGCGCAGCGCCTCCACCCTCCGAACGTACTCCTCCAGCCTCCGCCGCAGCGCCGCGCGCCGCTCCTCGCTCTGCTCGTCTGCCGGAACGCATCACGTCAGCGGGCTGGCCAGCTGTCAGGCGTCAGAGGACTGATCATTGTCAGGCATCAGAGGACTGATTATTGTCAGGCGTCAGAGGACTGATCATTGTCAGGTCTCAGAGGACTGATTATTGCCAGGCATCAGAGGACTGATTATTGTCAGGCGTCAGAGGACTGATCATTGTCAGGTCTCAGAGGACTGATTATTGTCAGGCGTCAGAGGACTGATCATTGTCAGGTCTCAGAGGACTGATTATTGTCAGGCGTCAGAGGACTGATCATTGTCAGGTCTCAGAGGACTGATTATTGTCAGGCGTCAGATGACTAACCATTGTCCGGCGTCAGAGGACTGATCATTGTCAGGTCTCAGAGGACTGATTATTGTCAGGCATCAGAGGACTGATTATTGTCAGGTCTCAGAGGACTGATTATTGTCAGGCGTCAAAGGACTGATTATTGTCAGGTCTCAGAGGACTGATTATTGTCAGGCATCAGATGACTAACCATTGTCCGGCGTCAGAGGACTGATTATTGTCAGGTCTCAGAGGACTAATCATTGTCAGGCGTCAGAGGACTTATTATTGTCAGGTGTCAGAGGACTTATCCGTGCCAGGTGCCTGAGGACTGATTATTGTCAGGCATCAGATGACTAATCATTGTCCGGCGTCAGAGGACTGATTATTGTCAGGCATCAGGTGACTGACCAGTGTCAAGCGCCTGAGGATGATTATTTTCAAGCATCAGAAACCTGATGGCTAGTAGGCGTCAGAGTACTCATGGCTGTCAGGCGTGAGAGGACTGATGGTTGTCTGGCGTCGGCAGGCTGGTGGTTGTCAGGCGTGAGAGGACTGATGGCAATTCAACCGACGTTTCACAGATGAAAGGCATGCTGATTGCGGAGCGAAATGCAACATTAGGAAACGAACCGCTCACACACAAACACACACTGATGACTTCTACACAATTCACGGCATATGCACATGCCAGGTGTCGTATTCACAGCCCAGGCAAGGCGTAAGTCTCAAGCTACAGCCCATCCCCCGAATGGTCCATTGCTCCGACATAACACGGCATGGTGACTCAACACAGTTCTGAGTTTGAACCATCGCGGCATTCTGGCCCAAGTCTCTGGCATAAATCTGACTCATTTGACCTTGCAAAACAAAAACAAAACAAAAATGAAGACGCCATTCTAATAAAGTGCCGTTTCAAAACGTCAGTTATTAAATGCACAGCTTGTGACAATAAGCTTGGGACAATTTAGGCGTGTTAACAACGGAAAATAAGCGCCCCCCCCCCCCCCCCCTTGAGATCCTTGAGAGGCCTAGCCCAGGTCAGCCGAATAAATTCCCTGGGGTCGAGCAGGCGTGAGTGACCATTATCCGCTGACCGCTAGAGGTCATCACGGCGACGTGAGAACCCGGTGTTGACTGTGGCGGCGTGCAGCGACGTACACTGGACGGCGGCGAGCAGGTGCTCAAGGCCGTCCCTGTACAGCTGGACGGCCGCCTCCAGCTCGCCGGCCGCGTCCTTCTCCACCGCCTGCTCCACCAGCCGCGTGCCTGGCAGCAGGCGGTGACGCACAGATCACACACACGTCACCAAGATCACATACAAGCACACACGCACGCAAGCACGCACGCACGCAAGCACGCACTGCACTGCACCACCACGCACGCACGCACGCACGCACGCACCACGCACGCCACGCACGCACACACACACACACACACACACCATCCAACACAACCACACCACCACACAACACACACCTTGCGCCAGGCTGTGCCCCTGTGGCCATCTCCCACGGACCACACTCCAAGAGCGGCTCCACGTCGCCCAGATCACACACCTCACCTCAAAGTGCGCTTTACCTCACACATGAATACGACGCAATTTTACACATCACACACGAATACACTGAATTAGTTTCCCCACTGAAGCTAT